AATTCATTGACTTGTTTCAAGCATTATGCACATTTGTGTTACCCAGAAAACCACGTCATTTCAGAAAAAGTACACCAGATCGTTTTTCAGGCATTTGACCTTCATTTTTGACCTTTCCAAGGTCGCAAAAACAATTTTTTCATAAGACAAGTTTGATGTAAAATTTTCCGCTCTTTCGAAATCCGCAGTAAAAAATAGGGTGTCCCATTTAAAAAAACCATCGTGACCTTGAAATGACCTTCAAAATTGACCTCAAGGTCAAAACTAATGGTACAATTAAATGACCCCCTCTGTCCTGGTCAACTTTTATCTAAACCATTTTTTTGTAGATACCGTAATTTGGAAGATATTCGGGTCCATAAATTAAAATGACTCACCCTGTATATAAGCATTTCTTTGATATATAAAAATGTTTCCTACCGATAAGTTCGCGATAAATTTGCATATATGAATACAATTTTCCTGTGCTAAGAATTATAATCTGGAACGGATCGATACCGAATCAACGAGTGTTTCTCGAATGAATAGTTATTTTCGAATAATATGAAAATTAAAACGCGATTGCTCACTATTTAGCCAATATTTGCATGTAATGAATATTATATTATATATATGAGTTATTCAATTTCAAAGAATAAATTAGTTTAAAAAACTTGTTTAAAACAACATATACGTCATATTACTTTATATTCACGGCTCATTGAAATTCATGATATTTTACTCATTTTACACCGTTTTAGAGATAAGAAGCTTATTGCGAAACTAAAAGCGAAGGTATGCCGCGAAAAAGATCATGTCCGCTTTACAGTCTTTATCTTCGATATGAAAACTTTCGAAGGGATGTATAAATCGGTTTTCTATATCTGCATAATAACGTGCGCACCATTTACTGGAAATTAGCAGTTCGTCCAATATCGGAAGGTTGAAAGATACGCAGCAAAAGAACAAAAATCAATAAAAAATGTCTACACCTTCGCGATTTTATTTAATCTCGACGGAACATTTTAATTTCAGCAAAATGGTATTTTCACGAACACATATATCAATTAGAGCGATTAATTTCAAAGATAATTATTTTCCCAAATTAAGTAAGATTTTAATTAATAATAAATTTGTATAAAATAAAATTGTTTAGTTTGAAGATATGGCAAATTATTTATCATTAGTGATAAAGAAATTATCTCCGCGATAATAAGATAATTATTAATATATCTTAGTTAAGTGAGAGTAAATGTGAGTTAATGTTTATTCAGGTTGTTATAAAATATATGACACATAGAATGCATCATCATTATTAATAATTACGGAACTAGAGGATTTAAACGTCAACGAGTTAATTTGTTGAACATGTTAATTATTATTCATATTATTGAGCGCGCCGCGCCACTAATAAGCTTTTTGCTCGATTTCACACAAGCAGTAAAATTCGACTTTGCGAGAGAACTTTTCTAAGAATCTGAATAAATTCACATTATGCAAGCACTTCATTTTTTTCATACCAAAATAATTGCGTATGTAAAATCTTTCTTTTTTTCTAAAAATAGGAAAAGAAAAATTCTGCTATATGACTCTCGAAATTAATAATAATAATAATAATAATAATTAAAGCAAATGAGAATGAAGCGTAGTTAAGGTGCAGTCAGCAGCTTTCTTTTCTTGTCTGACTTGTTTTTCCTTTATTTGTTAAATGACGGCAAATTTTTCTAAGACGAGAACTATTAATAGTGATTGTAAAAAGGTTTTAAATCATTTATACTCTATTTGCAGAAATTGATATTGGTAACCACTTGGCATTTGTAATGATACCACAAAAACGATCTTTTACGAAGATAATACATTATTTATAATTAATCAATGATGTATTCATATTGGAGAAATTGAAATGAATAATTGAATAGTATAATCCCGGAAAATGACAGATGATATGATATTGAGTTAAGATTAAATCGATATTATTTAGAATTAAATAGGATTATAATTTTTAACATAAAAAATATTACTTTGCTTTGCAAATTAATAAAAAGTTTTTATCAACGTGAATTTCTCCGTAGATGAAATCTAAACAGAGAACGGGGAAACCTTTTGCTTGCTCCGCTTGCAATTCGTGACTAAAATGATAAGCAAAATGTTCTACCAGTCGTAGTACAGCCACGTAATTTATAAAGAAAAATTTTCCAGGAAATATTTCTTTTTATGAAATGATATCTGAACTTTATAAAAATCTTTCAACTAACTATACATTACTGCAGACAAATACTCAAATAATAGCAACTTAACCAAAATATAAGAAAAAAAATTCAGGGATCAGGATTTTATGAGATAAAACATTGAATGTAATATTGTAATTTGTACAGTTATAATAACAATTTATAATTGTTAAAATAACGACAAAATTTATTTCTTTTTTGCTGATTTGTATACACTGAGAGAAATAATTTTGTTATAGGAACAAATCAAGGGAAAACAAATGTGATATTTGTTAAGAAAACGATCGATTAGTTATTATTGCAAATTAATTATTTCTCATTCGTCAATGTAACAAATAATCAATAGTATAACTAGCAAATAAAAGGCTCATATATATGTATACATTATAGAAGTCGTAGACGATCGTAGGGTCTCAAATCGTAAGAAATTGATCAATTCTTGTCAAGTATTCTCCTTATATTTGATTGGTCATTTTGTGATTGATCAATTTCCTACGACTTAAGACTCCACGATCATCTATGATTTCTATGATAAAAAGTCTATCCAAAAGATAAGTTAGGTTCTATATAGTTTGCTTCTATTATTAATAATTAGTTGATATAGCAGACTAGTAGCAATCACAACAAATCAATTTTGTTGTCACATATTTACCGATCA